GGAGGGTGGAAAAAAAAAAAAAAAAAAAAAAAAAAGGAAAATGAAGGCACGGTAAATAATTTTCCAAATTAGAATGGAGCAACGCCATGACAGGAATCAAACAGCGATTCACTACCTATTCAATGCAATCGGTGTATCTTCATGAAACTTGCTGTTATCTAGCGTCACTGTTGCATTCTTGAATCCCCTCACGTCCTGCATATCAAGTGGAAACTAAAAAACCAAAAAGGGGATTTTATAAGCTATAAAATTGGGGAATGGTCTGGTCAAGCAGAGGATTCCATTCCATTCCATCCCACCAGTCAAGATACAACCAGAAAATCGTGGGTGTTCACGAATAAAAATAGCATGCATGTCTACTTACTATCATATGTTGAGTCGCTTCTGCAGTTGGTATATTCTGATGAGTAGAAATGACAGGACTGTTTCCGGTATGTGTTTCTAGACAATTTATTTTTTTGCTAGAATCAGCCTCGGGTTTCACAACACCCATCATAGGACTAGTAAATGAAACAGAAGGTGGTGCTAGATCCTTTTTAAGCAACTCCTGGGATATGTAACTACGTAACCTTGATGTTACCTCAACAAGAGCCTCTCGAGCTGCTGCGATCTTCCCAATAATCTGTATATGAAAATTAACGCAAAGATTGCCAGAATTGTGTATTGGTCCAAGAACCTCTCCTCAGAGGATCTTTGGCCCAATCATTTTGAGCAGTAGGCACTTGGAAAGGGGAACAAAAAGAACCAAGGAAGCTACACTCGCACCAGAAAAGAGCTATTTATTGGTACTCATAGTAGATTCTGTATATTATGAAATCATGTAACAATAAAGATCAACATTAACTACTGTCCCATCATTTTTTCTCACTAATCCATAAATCATACCCCAAACTACAAGATTACTTTATATAACATCACAGATAGGACATCCCGTAATTTGGACAATCAATCAAATATCTTTAATGTCCTTTGAGACTAGCATGTCACTAACAGAAACACGTCTTCTAGAATTTACAAGCATGTAAAGAGACAAACCTGTACAATCTCGTAGGACCCCGATATACCTAGTGGAACGTCTTCTCTGGGCAGAATCTCTATGTTTGCACCTGTCATTTTCCTCATCTCAGGTAATGTTCTATCTTTTAACCGTAAGCATCCAGCTTCATTTGATTGCAGAAGTAACCGGGTAATAATAAAATTTTCTTTTCCTTGAACAAAATCAACAATACGGGTCTGAATATGCATCAAAGCTTCTTGAGCAGGAAACATCTCGTCATCAAGATCCTAAAAGACAAATAAGTGAAATAGCTTAGACGACCTTTTGGAAAAAAAACAAAAGCAAAAGCAAAGATGTTCAAATTTAATGCAGCAACCTGATCAGATAAAATTAAGAGAGAGGAAGATGTACCTCATCAGATGAAATAATAATTACACGCTCATCTATGCCATCAACAGGATCAGAAACCTTGACATCAACACCAACTTTATTTTGGAGCAAATCAACAATCCCATTTGACTCTCCAACAAGACTATCAACCTTGTCAGCTGGGCAAAGTATACGAAACACTATGCCCTCACCAGAAAATGAGTGTGCATTTTGTGCTGGAGCAGGTTCAGATTCAAAGACGTCTCCATATGAATGGGAGAATGTGATATTTCTCATGGAAACTGAAGAAGACTCTGAACCAAGATTAGACCCTTCAACAGATGATCTTCTTGCCCTACTATTCATGTGTGGAATTAATGCATCACTGGTAGAGGATAAATGCAGATGTGAATTTAGCCGATAATGGAAATGGTTTCCATAATGAAGTTGGCTCTCTCTCAAGAATGTGGATATTATTCGTATAGCATGTTTCACAGCATTCTTATAACCGACAACCTGCAAAAAAGAACAAAATCCTCACTATATTAACAAAATTATAAACCTTCGAAAATAAAGGCCGAAAAAATATTCATATAGCAGAATTTTCAAATATAGTGAATTAGGTGTGTGATCTTGTAGTACTCGAAGTTCAATCATTCACTTGTGGAAAACTAGATGTAGCCTAATTTTAAAGTAGAACTGCATCTCTTTAAGTCCAGACTGTCCAGTGGCCCGTAAAAGTGCACTCAGCAAATAGTACAACAATCTTCTCAAAATTTATCAAGAATGATTTGTGATGCAACTATGAATCTCATGAAGAGTTTGATCCTTGCTCAGGATGAGCGTTGATGGCATGCTTAACACGTGCAAGCCAGACGGGAAATGTTTTTTATAGTGGTGGACGGGTGAGTTAAAGGTAAATGGGTGATAAAGGAATCCTCATTGATGTTCATCATATCTTCGATTAACAAGAAATGGATGCAAAATAAATCTTAATCTCAAGTTTTTGAAAAAGTCACAAAAAGTACAAAAAATGTGCAGACACATGTGAAGCTATGCGTTCGGATATATAATACAATTGACAACGATGAATGAAAGCTTCATTTAAAACGTAACAGGCATATTTAAGGATTGTTACAAGTATTCAAAAGCTATAATTTCTTTGAAAATAGAAGTTCAATAACTTTTTTGTCGGCTTATCAGTAATTTTAGTCTTCATGAATCAGTATTATGTGTTTGCATATCATATCCCTCAACTGCATAAAGATCAACAGTCGTCATTTCCTAACAAGATTAGCATTAATATTGAAACATTTTGCATCAAGATAACTTTATAAGATAAGCTCTATGATATCCTGTGTGTAACAGAACTCAAGGTTTTCTTAATAAATACCCAAAGATCCATAGGGAAAGACAGATCAAAACCTGAACAATCTCTTCCGATGTTGCCACACAACGTGGCGAATGGCGATTTGTGGGTAAAACCCTAATATGGGTATGAGTCTCAATCTTCATTCGTTCCATTACTGTCCCTCCCCTGCCTATCAAACTCCCCACATGCATTCGCTGCACCACCAGCCTTGTTATCATCCTGTTACCATTCCCACCACAGCCCCAATGCCCAGACTCTGGGTTTACATGATCCCCAGACCCCACATTTCGCCCATCGATCTCCAAAATCCGGTCATGTATCAAGAACAATGCTTCCTGAGCAGGGTAAAACTCCGGTATAGGTCTGTCCAGGTCCTGCCTTCGCGTATCAAAAACCTCAATAATCCTCTCTTCATGCCCCGGAATCAACTCATGAACATTGATCCAGGCCCCTGTGCGCTCAATGGCATTAATGACACTCCCAGACCTCCCAATCACACTTCCTACGTTAACTTTTTGACACAGAATATATAAATGGTTCCTTCAGCACCACCTCCTCCGGCGGAGGAGCGCCGGTGGTGACGGGGAGCAGAACTGAGTCCTCCTCTGCCAACAACTGAATTGTTGTAGCGGGGTTCAGTCCTAGAGTCGAGGGTTTGGCCTGAATCATGACAAAGTCTCCTGAAACTCGATCTCCACATGGTAATTTGTCCCTTGATTCAAAAGTTCAAATCAACCCAAAAATCCAGACTCTAAGCAAATACCAAATTAAGAAGAACCGCTGAAATTAGGTTTCTTAGGCATGCTAGTTCTTATATATTTAAGAATTTATTGAGTCAAGTCTTTGAAGTTCAGCAGCTCAGATTCTGAGATTTACATAATCTTTGTTTTAGATTATAGATTCACCACATATGATTACAGGTTAATTTTTGTGTGTAATGAGCTGTAATACACACAGAAGAGTTGAACTTTGAAGAAAAAATGTGATTTAAATTGTCAGACTGAACCAAACTACAGGGCTAAACTTCAAGTTTTTGAGAAATTAACAAAAATAGCACAGCACTTCTACGTAAGAAGCAGGCTTATTTCAACCTTTGTTTTTCGAATTATTATTATTATTATTATTATTATTCGTTTGTTTTTTTTTTTAAAATTAAAATAGTACGTAAAAAACAAAAGTAAATAGATATGTAAGTAGAGAGTAAATTTAACCAATGCTCACTGAACTTTTAACTTGATTATTACTTGCTCACTCATTTTTCAAGGGTTACTGAATGCTCACTCATCTTTCCATATGGTTACTCATCCACCACTTGTCTCTTCAAATAATTGGGCTACTTTTGCGACAACTTTTAGATAACTTCGGACCACAAAAAATGACGAATTTTGATGCCGTTGAAAAGCTCATGATGTCTTCTTCAATTATCACCCAAAATCTCCCTATAACTCCAAGGGATTCGATCGAAAAATTGGCTTAAAAGTCGTCCAAAAATTCTGAAAATCTGCTCAGATTTTTTGGACGACTTTTAAGCCAATTTTTCGGCAGCTTCCGACCATCAAAACTGTCGAATTTTGATACCGTTGGAAAGCTCACAATATCCTCTTCGATTTCCACCCAAAATTTCTCCATAACTCCAAAGGATTCGATCGGAATAAATCGACAAAGTCAGCATTCGGAAAAGGCGAAAATCTGGACAGAGTTCGGGATGCTGACTTTGTGGGTTTATTCCGACCGAATCTTTTGGAGTTATGAGGAAATTTTGGGTGGTAATTGAAGAGGACATTGTGAGCTTTCCAACGGTATCAAAATCCGACAGTTTTGATGGTCGAAAGTTGTCGGAAAATTGCCTTAAAAGTCGCCCAAAAAATCTGAAAATCTGGACAGATCCAGATTTTCAGATTTTTTGGGTAACTTTTAAGGCAATTTTCCGATCGAATCCCTTGGAGTTATAGGGAGATTTTGGGTGGCAATTGAAGAGGACATCGTGGGCTTTCCAACGGTATCAAAATTCGACATTTTTGGTGGTTAGAAGTTGTTGAAAGGTTGTCACAAAAGTCGCCCAATTATTTGAAGAGACGAGTGGTGGATGAGTAACTATATGAAAAGATAAGTGAGCATTCAGTAACCCGTGAAAGATGAGTGAGCAAGTAGTAACCAAATTGAAAGTTCAGTGAGCATTGGTTAAATTTACTTGTAAGTAGATGGAAAATAAAGACATTTAGCCCTTGATTGAGCCCCATTTTTTCTGGAAGAATGAATTTTTGAATAGTATATTGTTGGGAAATGTGTGGTTAAAAAATAAAGAAAAATTTTGAATTTGTGTGTAATATTATTTTTATTGAAGAACGTGTGATTGAAATGATATCAAAATACTGTTAAAAAATGTATTTTTTTCAAAAGAATGGAACTCAAATAAGGGCTTAATCCTTGTCCCATCTCTTAGAAATCTCCAATGAGTGAGGAATGAGGTGGGGACGGGCAATTAAAAATCTATTTGATATTACTCAAAAAAAACCATTTTCAGCTTTTAACCTAAACTAAACACTCTAAATATTGAGAAAAGAAAGATTTATAGCCTTTGATTCAAGTTAAAGCATGTCGACTTCATTTCCTTTTATTTGTTAGCATGTCACTTGAAAGCTCTGGATGAAGCTAAGATTTTTTGTTTGTGGAGCCCAACAAATGGTATATAGTGCCATGATAAATGATGATTAATAGTGTAGTGATTGCTTACAAAAAGATAAGAGCAACATTTGAGGTAAACAATAAAACTATTGAAATTGAAAATGAATAAAATATTTTATATGAACGATTAGATCATATGTCAAATATATCTTATCAAGCTTACGTGTTCAAAAATTAGCTCGTGCATCTTACTCGAGGAAAACTTACTATTGTAGGCAATGGCATTCTGCATTCGAAACCTTATCTTCTAAACAAATAATAAAAACTTTACCATTAGACTACCAATAATTTATATTCTATGAGCTAAATTTGTTTTTCTTTATTAGTTTTATTTTCAAATACATATAGAAAAAATCAATAATGAAAATTCCGCAGAGAATACGTCTGGTCAAAAAATTGTTTTCATATTTCATTCTTTATTATTATTATCTCGACCTAGTTCCATTAATAAATTTTCTACAACTTTATTTTTATTGATATAATTTGAATTCCAATGGTAATGTGCCATGTGGACAGAATCTTGAAATCTAATCCGTTAAATCAGTTAGCGGTCTGCCTTTCCCTCCCTATTATCCTATGCTAAAACTCAAACCAAGCAATTTTTGATCGCTGGTAGTACCATCAGCTTTCCCATTTGTACATCTGAAGCTCTGTGCCTTCAATTCCCTCCAATGGCTTTGTCCAGTCCACAGCTTCAAAAATTTCTATTGAGCAAGATTCACTGCAACTATGGCTATAACAAGAACGCGAGAAAGGAGGTCGTAGTTAAAGGTGGAAAGGGAAGATGTTGCTCCGCGATTGCAATAGACGTGCCGTCTTCATTGACGAGTGCATCGGGAATTAGATGGGGTTCGATTAAGTTACAAGGAGCTCGCGAAGAAATGGAAGACGATGTTGTTATTGTTCAATCTGATGATCTTAATGGGTTTTCTTTTGCCGCGGTTTTTGATGGGCATGCCGGATTCTCCTCTGTTAAATTCCTCAGGTTTGTAAAAATTACATCAATTAATGGGGTTTTCGAGCATGTGACTTTGCTATTTAAGTCTTGATGTGGGTATATTTGTTAATGACACCCTTCATACATTTTGTTCAGTTAATGTGAAGTGATTTAGGTTTTCTAAGAAGCTATTGGAATGAAGTGGGTACACCTAGATTTTTTTTCAATGTTGAGTCGAAATTTTCTTGTTTAGGACTAAATTGAGTAGGCAAAGATCTCAGTTAAATTTTCATTGCCACCCATCCATTGATGAATAATGAATCAGTTGTGCATTTGAAGGGGGTCGACGACTAAATTTAAATAAATACACGAGTTTCCAACTAAAACAACTTAAGCTTTCTGATGAGGTTGTTCAATATGGTATGAAAGCAAGCAAAGGTTTTGAGTAAAAGTCACAACACCACTCATTTATGAAAATTGTGCACGTGTTGGCCCTCAGTAGAAAATTGTTCTGTACTCCACATGAAGGCGTACGCTAAAGACTAAAATTTGAGTATGAGTCACAATATCCCTCATTTATGAAAATTGTACACGTGTCAGCCCTCAATAGAAAAAAATAATCCCAACTCCATGTGAAGGGATGTGGCAGACTAAATTTGAGTAGATAAATGTGTTCCATAACTTTTTAGTTGAGGTGGTTCGACATTTCTGAATTTTGTTTCGTGAAGTGGCCACCAACTACTTGTTAATGAATACTTTTTTGAAAATGTAAGTTAACGTCAGCAAAGATCCGAGCAGTTATAGTGAAAATTCTGATATTATCCATGCTGAGTTTATTGCAATTAGCTGTAATAACTGGAGATTCATTTCATATCGAGATCTTAGATTTATAGGGATATTCATACATGACCTTCCATTCCCCCCTCAAGTTCTAATATGTGCGAGGACAACTGATTATGGCAGTTTAAGAATTGTAATTGCATAATATCTAAGACATAACTGAACGTATTTACTGCAGGGAAGAACTATATAAAGAATGTGTCGCAGCATTACAAGGTCCACTGTTAAATGGAAAGGACTTCAAAGCAATTAAGAATGCACTACTAGAAGCCTTTGAAAGCTCTGATGCAAAACTCTTAAAATGGTAAACCAATATTCCTTTCTGTTGTAACTTAATCTGGCATCAGCAAAATATGTCGTTGAACTCCAGTATTGTCTCAAAATGATTTTGCATGATATATGATTGTATTGAAGTCTCAGATGCTGTTTCATTTTTTAAAGGTTGGAGACTAGCGAGGAAGGTACTGAATCTGGATCAACAGCTACAGCTATTTTTCTTCGGAATGATGTGCTATTCATTTCACATGTTGGTGATTCGTGCGTGGTATATAACTGCTCATTAATTTTCATTAAAGAACTGTATTTTGTTCTAGACATAAAAGACAAATTGCCCCAATTGGCTTCTATAATGCAGTCTCTCTCTCGATCTGGTAAAGCAGAAGTTTTGACGAATTCACACCGACCCTATGGAAATAACAAAGTTTCTCTTCAAGAAATCAGAAGAATCAGAGAAGCTGGTGGATGGGTGTGTATTTCTATTCTTAGCTACAATTATTTGCCTGAATTCATTTGCATTAAGTCTTTGAAAAAGCTTAAATCTTTAGCTTTGTGTTCTCTAATACAGTTTCTGTGCATTTTTATGGGTGCTGATGAATCTATCATCTGATGTCTACAGATTAATAATGGAAGAATTTGCGGAGACATCTCAGTATCCCGTGCTTTTGGGGATGCTCGTTTTAAGACCAAAAAGATTGAGTAGGTTTATTTTTTATTTCCTGGAAAATTTTCAAAATGCTGATTATTTTTTTCATTTTTAAACTTGGCATTTCTTACTCGAAGGATGCTGGAGAAGGGAGTCGAGGAAGGCCGATGGTCTGAAAAATTTGCTTCTCGGTAAGAATATGTATATATACTATGAGATGAGATTTTGCTAATATGTAAACCATTCAGAAAGTTAAATTCCTTGGCCTCCGGTGAAAAAAGTTAAATTCCTTACATTGTGTCAGGGTACAATTTAACGGAGACTTGGTTATTGCGTCTCCTGATGTTTCTCAAGTAGCTTTAGGATCAGATGCTGAGTTCATAATTTTAGCATCAGATGGCTTGTGGGATTACATGAACAGGTCTGTTGGTTACCTTGACTACTTAGAGCAATCTATTTTCATGAATAAAGCTTATCCATAGCCTATTATTTCCTCTTAGACGGTAAATAATCTAAAAGTACTTTCATGTATTTCAGCTCCGATGCTGTTAATCTTGTAAGAAGTCAACTTAGACAACATGGAGATGTTCAGGTAAGTTATATGCCACGGTTTAGTACATTGGTTCCCAAGAAGGCATAGTTAACTTATTTTCTTCCATTAACAGATGGCTTCTGAAGCCCTTGCCCAGATGGCTCTGGTAATAAGTTGCAGAGACTATATATTTTCCATTTCCACATCTAAGTTGCACTTACTATTATAACCTGCAAATAATTTATATTGCAGAACCAACACTCGCAAGATAACATCAGCATTGTCATTGCTGATTTGGGGTACGCACTTTCTATTGGTCGAACTTCCACATTTGCTACTCTTGCTAATAAACCTAGTTTTATTTTGGTTAGTGCCTGTCAAAACCATTGAATGGTCTCATAAAGCTAATGCTGGAAAGGCTAAATTGTATATTTAAATTAGATGATTCAGTGTATCCACAATCCACCTGCCCCTAAAGTCAAGATGATGTTTTTACATGGTAATTCCAAGTCTTGTCGGCAGAAATTTATGAAAATTGTGCACGTGTTGGACCTTCGATGAAAAAATGAATCCAATCTACACATGAGAAGGCATGTAGAAGACTAAATTTAAATAAATAAATGTGTCCCCCTTTTAACATCTTTACCTTTTACATGAGGTCATTGAGTAACCAAAAAGTGAGAAGGACCAGCTAAAAAGGTTATGATAAGGATGGTTCATGGCATAGTTGTGTTGTATCATGATTAATGTTTCCCATTAAAACATAAAGTCTAATTAACAACTAATGGGTTTAATGGTAGTCGAACATATCATGGTCCCATTTCATCAACTTTTTGTTCAAGGACAATACAAGTAGTTAGCCTACATACATCTTCCATCTGCAACTTTACTTCAATAAATGAGGTCGCTCTTGTTTCTTCAACTTCATATTTGTTCTTGGATTTCAAATGTATGCAGGCAAACAGATTGGCAAAATTTACCTCTGGAGCAACAAAATTTTGTGTATGAATTAGGCCAAGCTTTAGCTACAGTCAGTATACTGTCACTTGGAATATGGATGTCAACTCTGCTATCATCATGAACTTGAAGTTTGACTAGTTATATGTACATACAATAAGAAGTAATTAAAAAAAATGTATTACCTATGCTTTGTACTTTCAAGCATACATCTTCAAGTATATATAACGTCTTGGAAAAGAGCAGAAAATAGTGCTTATAATGATTTTTGCACGAAAACTATTGACCAATTTTAGCTGCAAAAGATCTGTTCATTTTTTGCTGTATTCTCGACATCCATAAATATATAATTATGGCTTTGTAGTTTCATCTATATGAATGACTATTATCTGTTACTGCAATATATTCTATATTTGAGCATGTTTGGGAGTGTTTAAATTAAAATTTAAGTGATTATCTGTTGTGGGTTCTACGAAATTGTCATCATTTATAATCCAACGTACAAAAGCTTTTGCTTCAGAGTTTAGGAAGATCATGTTAGCCACAAAATGTCAAAAGATCATAATTGTTCTTCAAACCAAATTATGGTACTGAAATTGAGAGAGATCTTGTTAACAAATTTGAAATGAGGGAAAGAAAGCTTTGCTTGAAACTTGAAAGAAACTTGCTTTTTTTGAGTTTCTACTTAAGAGGGAAGATTTGATTGTAAAAAGACTTAAGTTACCACAAGAATTAAATAAGAGGGTTAATTTTTCTTGCATTGGTACTTCCAAAAATGTTGAGATTTTTATGGCCTTCTATCTGGTAGTACTTAAGAGGTGCTTACGATTGAGAGATAGTTGTGCTTGAGAGATAGTTGTCCATGCACTAATTAAGCTCTGGTTTTAAGATAGCAACAAATTTTATTCATTTCCAAGTTATTTCAAAGGTGACCAGCCACAGAAAATTTACATAAGAGCATCTACAATACTATGCCATTTTCTGTATCATGCCATCAAGAGAGATGTAGAGAGAGAGAACGATACTGTGTTATTGTATAGATATAAACTCGTTAACTGATGCAGTCATTTGTAATCAAAATCGTTATGTATTACAGCAAGCGATTAGAAGGCTGCATGAAGAGATTCAGGGATTTTTGCCACCGCCACCTTTTTTCCCTTTTTGATCATGCTTAGTATTTGCCCCTGCTTCTCCATAATCTAACACTGCATCAAGTACAAAGAGCTTTCTTGAATTTGCTCGCATTTCTCCCTTCAAAAAAGATGCAGAAAAGGTTAGTTGAATCGCGTGATTTGTCTGTTAAAATTGTTAGCAAATATTGGGGTGGAAAAATCTTTCGATTTGCCTAAGAAGATAGCTAAGCCTCCATTGAAGATTCCCTTGAATTGTATGTCTGGATATGCTTGAAAAACAAAAAAAAAATACATTTTTGGAATGCATCAAGTGCCTTGCCTCGTCTCACCATGAGATGAGACATACCTTATATCATAAAACTATGTTTCTTCTATTTTTGCACTCAATTTCCTCTTCTTGGAGGAGTTCATTATATATCTCAATGTTGACATCATGTGATATACACTATCATGGCTTGTTTAGTAGAGATATAATAAAGTGCTAGATAGTATTAAACAAAATAACTTTATCTTATATATTATACTGTCGAAATTTGTTCACTGCTATGTACCAAACATGCTTTTCATCTTTAGGCGACTTCAGCGTGAAATTTCATCGTCAGCGCTTTCTTTTGTGCATTCTAAAATGGTAGCAACATAATAGAATTAATGCAAATATAATTAATCGCCAAATTACCTTGTGACTTGTGAAAATGGGTTTTACACGAATCCCATAGCCGCCGACTTTGCCTACAAACAAGAAAAAGAGCAAATGCCTAAGCTGATATTTATCATATTCATCCAATGAGCTAAGCAATGAAGACTAAGTTGAAATTAAAGATTGTTCAAGATTGAATTTAGCTCAAAAACCTGTGGATAGGAAGCAAAATAGTAAAAGAAAAACAAGAAAAAAAGCCTTTATAGTAAGATTCATGGCTTTGTTTGTATTATATTCACTGCTGTTGAGGATGTTTTTTTGGTGCAAGTAGGTTGAAGGGGGAAAATGGCTCTTTATATAACCAGAAATATGCATTAATAATCTTGGTTTAGTGCATCCCACGCAACCAATAACTGATACAATGATGATGATATGCATTACATCTGAGCCACAATATGGAAGTCAACTTTAGTAAATGTGTGTGTTACATCAGAAAAAGCAGCAATAGTGTGTTTGGGCAGTAATTTGAAGTCTTGCTTTTGGTTTTCGTTGTTTTCATCTTTTTGTGAATTGTAAGTCAAACTCTAGGGGCAAATAGTTCATACCAAGTATCAATTAATAATGTACATCCTCTGTTGGTTAGTGTTGACATCATTTAGCCCCTAATTGACAAATTTTTTTTGAAAAGAATGAGTTTTTGAATAGTAAATTTCTGGAGAATGTGTAGTTAAAAAGGGGGAAGAGTTTCGAGTTCTCGTAAAGAATATTTTATTATAAGAATATGTAGTTGAAAATGAGTATGAGAAAAAAAGAGTTTTGAAAGAATAGTTGTAAAACTGGGACTTAGTTGTTATCTTCAACTCTATTTTTGCTGTGTATTCGACACTTCGTTTCCAGACTTGAGCATTAAGGAGTTGTCATCTGAGTACTTGAGAATTGGGGAGTTATGATAGAAAATATGAAAGACTACTACATCAAGAGTTAAAAGATGACCGGAAAATGGGGCTTAACCAATTATTATGACCATGAATATATTGCCTCAATCATTGTTGGAAGTGCTTCTAGGGGTGTCAGCACGGCCGAGCAAGTCGTGCATAGTTTGGCTTCACCCACAAGAAATCCTGAGCCATCGTGGACCATCCTCGGCCGCTACACGAACGTCCAGTGCCACCTTGGACATTTCACACTTGACACCCTTGAGTGCTTCTCTACCATCACTACAATCTTCCTTTATTTCTCTCGAGACATTATCCCAACATTAGACTTTATCATGTTGAATCATTTAATCTAACAGTTTATACTCTTATATAAGATCTTGTGTGTATATCATTTAAACGCAATTTTCAACATATTTACTCACGTGTAAGTGGAATTCATCTTTCCCCATCAAAAACTAACACGTGCAGAATCTCTGTAAGTTTGTGACATCAAACTTGAATTCATGACCTTTACTTACTCTATACCATATTAAATCGCTTAACCCAAAAGTTTAAGCTCTTAAACAATTCCATACATATATCATTTAAATATTACAAACAATATGTGTTAACCCTTCAAAATGTATGTTCAAATTTCGACTTCTCAGTGGCACCAAACACCAACTTTAACCTATTGTGCCTTTGACCCTAAAAATTTAGGCATTGGTCAAATCAATGTGTAGGAGACACAAAAGGATATTAGTGGCCTACAAAGGAGTAGTTTCTAGGGTTGAAATTTTGAAAGCCATTTAAAGGAAGCACTGCCGGAAGTTAGACAGAAAACACTACAACTTTAAACTTACTTATATGGTACTAATTACTTATAATTACTCATTAAGACAATTGATTAAAATAGTCCATTAGTTGCTGGAAACACGAAATGTTTGTAATCATGGTGAATTTTGGTGTTTTATGTGTAAGTAATTACGATGTTGTCGGGGACAGATAAAAAAGCTGTCAATTGTTTATACAAATTGGAAGGGGCCCTCGCCCCCCAACTCTGGTACGCTGTATTTTGTAAGAAATAATGAGTTTCTTTTTTGTTCAACTGAGCATAACACTTGTATGCATCTAACAATACGAACTAATTGGAGGCGGCTGTCAAAAATATCTACGTGATGCGCGCATTGAAATATACAAAATAAAATGCAAGTTGAATGTAAAATCAGGTTGTGAGTGGAGATGAAACTACTTTTTAGTCGGTCTAACATGGTATACATACTTTGTTCGGGTGCCTTTTAACATGATAAACATACTTTATGAAGTGTATTTGGGAGTTGTGTAAGAGAAACTTCGTGATTATAATAGTCAACAGATAAATCAATCTTTTTCGTGTATGGCCTTTTTTTCAATCGTGTTTTTTTATCTAAGTGCTCAATTGATAAAGTTTTTGGAGAAGTGATTTTTTTGGTGACTATATCAATAAAAAGTAGGAATAAATCTCACAATAAACGTGTTGAAAATAAGTATGAGAGAGAATAGATTTTCAAAGAATCAAAATCAAATAAGGACAATCTCTACGTCCTTATAGTTATCTATAGAGAGAGGGAGATGAATCAAATGATTCCACCCCCTCTTCCCCAAAAAGATGCTTGAAAACTCATTTCCATCGACTTGAGAAGGCTTCTCTCAATCTTTAAATACTCAGGAGCATCTCTGTTTATCCATTCTTCATGCTATTTTTCAATAAAGCAACATCATGTTCTTAGTCAAGAAAAAGACCTATATTTCCAGAAATCATCTTGTCTAGTATTATCTAAAAGACCAAATTGTTGCGAACATTGAACTTCCCCAACTTCTTAAGCTTTCTACCCTCAAGTCATACGAACTAAATGAAGGTAGCTATCACATAAAATCTACCTAAATTAGAATCATTAAACTCGAGTATTGAAATTTATTTCAGACAATTAGTGGAGACGAGACTACAAAATTTGAATCATGACATGTGCACTAAACAGTAGTTGAAGTCACAGACCTACTATTGAAAGTGGAGCATGCTGTTCTCTTACTACAAGATTTATTTTAGATCGAGTGTTGTACATTTGCAGAACCACAATTTTTTCTCGTCTCATCACAAGTGAATCTTCAATTATTTGCACTACATTCGTTGAAACAAAACTATTTGACTAGGGAAATGGGGGCACGAAAGTGATATTTTTTGTGTGCACAATTTCTGAGTTGGGTCTTCTCGAATGTCAATTTAGATGCAAAAATCACATGCAATGTTCTGTGTAGATCATATGCAAATTTTTCATCCACATTTACAACCAAGTGAAGTTCAAAAAAAGTTAATTTTCCCCATTAAAAGAATGCTCACTCCCTCTTTTTCTCTCTTAAATTTCTTACATTTATCTTTCTCAACCCATGGTCAAAATCATATATTAACCAATAAATGTCTTCTTTTCTCCTAAACATTTTGAAAAGTGAACATTTTTGAAAACAAAATTTTAATTTTTAACTTGGCCTATCATGCTACATAAAGACAACTTCAATCCTTTTCATATCTCGATAAATTCATCATGCAGCATATGTAGTTGACTAGGGAAATGGGGGCACGAAAGTGATATTTTTTGTGTGCACAATTTCTGAGTTGGGTCTTCTCGAATGTCAATTTAGATTCAAAAATCACATGCAATGTTCTGTGAAGATCATATGCAAATTTTTCATCCACATTTACAACCAAGTGAAGTTCAAAAAATTTTCCCCATTAAAAGAATGCTCACTCCCTCTTTTTCTCTCTTAAATTTCTTACATTTATCTTTCTCAACCCATGGTCAAAATCATATATTAACCAATAAATGTCTTCTTTTCTCCTAAACATTTTGAAAAGTGAAAACATTTTTGAAAACAAAATTTTAATTTTTAACTTGGCCTATCATGCTACATAAAGACAACTTCAATCCTTTTCACGATAAATTCATCATGCAGCATATGTAGAACAGACAAACATTTTTTCCCTTGAAAATACAAAATAAACTGTATCACATACATCCATTGAAAATATAGTTCAACCCATTGAAAGCTGAAAAATATGAGGCATAACTACACAAATACACTACATTTGGACAAGAATTGATTCTTCAAAATACCATTCTCAATCCTTCCAATGTCACCGCAGTTCATGACATCGTAATTTCTTGATCCCAAAGTTCAAAAACCAAAAGAGAATACATATTTAAAAATGCAAGATTGAAGGGGAAAAAAAACAAAAACTATACTTCTACATAAGAGAAAAGAGAGGCATGTATGTTTTCATGAATGCATGTATTTGACTCTTGACCTGTGAAATGCCTAACTGAAAATTTTTGAAGGAAAAATGATGTGAATGAAATGCCTAACCCGACCACCCACCACCCGGCCTGCTAACCCAGACCCCAACCCAAAGAATTGATTCTTCAAAATACCATTCTCAATCCTTCCAATGTCACCGCAGTTCATGACATCGTAATTTCTTGATCCCAAAGTTGAAAAACCAAAAGAGAATACATATTTAAAAATGCAAGATTGAAGGGGAAAAAAAACAAAAACTATACTTCTACATAAGAGAAAAGAGAGGCATGTATGTTTTCATGAATGCATGTATTTGACTCTTGACCTGTGAAATGCCTAACTGAAAATTTTTGAAGGAAAAATGATGTGAATGAAATGCCTAACCCGACCGCCCACCACCCGGCCTGCTAACCCAGACCCCAACCCCCCAAATAAAACATGTTAAATGAAATGAATGAGATTGAAAGCAATCCCACTCCCACTAGTGGTATGACCCAATGCAAGAGAAAGACTGACCTAAAAACATATTTTAAAAAATGATGTACCATGAGAAAGAAAAACAAAAATCAGGGAAGAAAAACGATGGTTGGTAGGTTGGCTGGCTTAAAGTATCTTGTCAACCAAAACTCTTGGGGCTTATCTTGTTCCAACCACTGCGAGAGACCACCATGGAAGCATAAAGCACAGTGCAGACTGATTTTTCTGTTGCGTTCTATTTCTCAAGTTCTTCAAATTCCTGAGAAGCCACCGCCTCTGACTCCTTCCCATGGAAAATAAATTAACCCGAGATTTTACTTCTCAAGCCCTTCAGAGAGTTCAGAGAAGCCACCGTGATTCTGATCCCGATCCCATGATGCTGATGCATGAGTTAGTGACATATGAAGATAAAATGCTTCTGTAGTCAGAGAAAATTAATGGCCCGATACATTGAATGCAATTCTGGACCCGACTCGACACAACCATATGCATGCAGGTTAGATAAAATGTACCCCATGGACACAACCTCAAACAGAAATGGCACGACTTGTTCCAACCACTGCGAGAGACCACCATGGAAGCATAAAGCACAGTGCAGACTGATTTTTCTGTTGCGTTCTATTTCTCAAGTTCTTCAAATTCCTGAGAAGCCACCGCCTCTGACTCCTTCCCATGGAAAATAAATTAACCCGAGATTTTACTTCTCAAGCCCTTCAGAGAGTTCAGAGAAGCCACCGTGATCCCGATCCCATGATGCTGATGCATGAGTTAGTGACATATGAAGATAAAATGCTTCTGTAGTCAGAGAAAATTAATGACCCGATACATTGAATGCAATTCTGGACCCGACTCGACACAACCATATGCATGCAGGTTAGATAAAATGTACCCCATGGACACAACCTCAAACAGAAATGGCACGGCTAATGGCCAACCTCGCCCACTCAGCAGATTCCTTGATCAAATGGTCATCTGAAGACAAGCATTCATTTAAAAAGTCTTTGCTTGACAGAGATTGCTGAATCAAAGAACCTGCATTGCTACCCAGAGTATCTGCTAAATCGCCCAGGACGCCAATAGCAGTTTTCATCACAACATCATCCCTGTGACAATATAGATAGAACATAAGGGTGATGAAAAAATGAATGATAGAACAACGAAGAAGCATACTGTGATAAAAAAAAATAAATAAATAAATAGAGGGTGTACTTACATATCTTTCTCCATGTAAATGCTGTCTAGGAATTGAAGGATATGTGGAGCATACGGGATCAGAAGCTGGGTCTTAGGAGAGTTCTTGAAGCCCTGGAATATTCCAGAATATGCCTCCAAAATTCCATTCCTAAGAAGATTAGTATATTCTATCATTTCATCATCAGCACCTGATGTGTGAGCAGACAATTCCGCAGCACTCTGAACCTGCATTGCTACCCAGAGTATCTGCTAAATCGCCCAGGACGCCAATAGCAGTTTTCATCACAACATCATCCCTGTGACAATATAGATAGAACATAAGGGTGATGAAAAAATGAACGATAGAACAACGAAGAAGCATACTGTGATAAAAAATAAATAAATAGAGGGTGTACTTACATATCTTTCTCCATGTAAATGCTGTCTAGGAATTGAAGGATATGTGGTGCATACGGGATCAGAAGCTGGGTCTTAGGAGAGTTCTTGAAGCCCTGGAATATTCCAGAATATGCCTCCAAAATTCCATTCCTAAGAAGATTAGTATATTCTATCATTTCATCGTCAGCACCTGATGTGTGAGCAGACAATTCCGCAGCACTCTGGAGCATGGGCATTGCATACATCAGGTACTTCTCAAAATTCTCTCCAATGGCGAGTGCTATGTCCCCAAAGGATGAAAATATTGGGGGCTTTACGGATCGGTGCAGCTGATTGCTTGATAAGTCTTTAAGGAGCTGGGTCATTATCCCGTCACAGTAAGGCAGAATCTTATCCTCCAATGCCCGGCAGATATCACCCACAACACCAACTGTAACAGCGCAAACTTGGTACTCTTCAAAATTCTGAAGACCCATCTCCAAGTACTTATAAAAGTCAGGCATGTATTTTGCAAAGTTGGGGCCTGTTGCATAGGCAAATGCACCAATAGCAAGCATAGCTTCCTCGTGGACAGTGGCACTTCTACAAGCAAAAACCCTGATAAAAAGGTTCATGATCTGATCTCCATAGTGCATGAAGGCATACTTAGTGGTGTCTGAAGCCCCTAGTTTCTGAATAATTACCTGTAAGCACCCACAGAGAAGGCCTTGTAATTCGTTCTGCTTCTCTCGCTCATCAGACGAGAGATTCTGAGCCTCGAGAGTCTTGTGAAGCTCTGCCATAATGACTTGAACAAGCTCCAAAACTAACCGGGCAGTTTCCTCAGTTGAGCACCTTACCACTTCGTTAAGTGTCTCGTACGCAGCAGTCCGAAGTCGTGACTCCCCAGCATCTTCTCTATGAGTGACGTTAAGGAGGGACTGAACAATTTCTTGAAAATAAGGCGTCAATGCAGATGATGACCCCAAGTCCTCATAACCTTGTGCGAGAAAATATAGAGCACCACAGGCTTTTTCAGCAACATTTGGAACATCTTTCATGCTCTGGAGGAGAACTGTAATAATCTGTTGGCAGTTTGCTGGAGTAATAATCGGTGTTTCCACAGTTGAACCATGAAGAAATTCAAATATTCTACCCAAGGTCCATGCAGTTGTGTCCTTCACATGGCTACTAGGGTCATTGGTTAATGCTGTGAGCATGAAGTTTAGAGCAACATTGACAATAGGGGTTAATTTATCAGGTGAAGGACCTTCCAATATGGAACCAAATGCATATGTTGCAGCTTCTCTTTGCCTCCAATCAGGTTTTGTTATATTCTCTTCAATAAATGGCATAACAAGCGGCACAATATCATCACCCACTGTCCGGGCAACCAGACCAAGGCAAGTTCCACCAGCCATGGCAAGATTCCAAGCACCTTCATCCTGATCCTGATCTTCTTCTTGCTTGAGAAGAGTCTCCAACAGCATAGGAACAAGCGCAGGCAGAGCTTGTTTGATAAAGTAATAGCACGGAACATCAGAATCTGCAGTAAATTCACCTCCATACTCTTCCAAAATATCAATCTCCTCATCACAAATTGAGCTCCAAAACTCAATGGCCTGAAGAGCAACTGGTTCCTCATCTTCTTTAACAGCCTTCGATGTGATATTGAAAATGTCTTGGATGTATGGTGCTAATTTCTCATAATATGTTGACCCAATGGAGACCAAACACTCAAAAGCAGCTTGGCGAATTTTCACCTCCGGGGAGAGAGTGGCCTCACAAACAACTCTCATTATGTAATCACGTTCCATATCATTGGAAAAGTTTGCTTGCGCAAAGCTGAGAGCATTATACAAAGCTCGGGTGGCGGAAAGCCTAACCTCATTGTTACCTTCATTTGCATTCATGCCTTGAACCACCGCTGTAAGTATCTTATTTACATGATCTTGCTCAACAACTTCTGGAACAACTTCTTCACACAAATATCCCAAAGTTTCAAGGGTTGCTTGCTTTACATGAGGTGGGACCTGATGAATATTTGACAGGAGAGATCCTATCAGCTCAGGCCACTGTTTCTGCGGAAGCTCGATGCCTGCAACTTTTGCAATGACTTGTGAAGCAGTTGACCGAGCATCAGGTACGGGAGAGGAGAGGGTTTGTAACAAACATGCCTTGATTTGGCTCTTCACAGCGACATCTAATGACAACCATCTTTGAACAAGCTCGTATTTTCTGTGTTGTTCCTTGGCATCCAAAGCATTTTTGAGGATCAAACCTGCCAGTTTTCGACTTTCAACTGGCTTTTCTTCACTAGCAAGCTCTCCAGAAAGGGATAATAGATAACCAGGAAGATTTTGCTCCTGAAACTGCTTCAAAGTATCTTCAGCATGTTTCCGCACGGTCGAATCTATAGCTTGTGCACTTAGAAGAACCTGGGTAACTTCCATCGTATCCCTACCAATATCGTGTTTGAATTACAATAAGAAACAGGCATATATAAAAATAACTCAGAACTGAATACATCTCAAATGCTGAAGAAAGAAATAATCCCTGAGAACATTGATCATAATGCAGAACTTCAATGAGAAATCCAATGCCATGCCAAAGATGAAAAAAGGATATGATTGGGGAACCATGAATTCGGGATGAAGATATTCAATTTGGCAATCTCATCTGAGGATGTTTGACAGAAGGGTTCCAGGAAAATATATATAAAAAGAATAATTGAGCAGGATATCATGGGAACTAAGAATACTCATGCAGTGGCCATAACACAGATAAACACTGACCGTATTTGCCCGTTTTACATCCAAAAGTTAAGAAAAATAAGCATTATGTTCAATATCCCCTCCTTCAGTGCAGTTACCATGAGACAAAAACAGAGAACACAATTTTCTAGGTTGAGAAAGGGGTAAGTGAACAAGTGCCACTCTTGTGCTCATTTAAAATGACACATCCAGAAATTTCCCGTGTAAATGGGCAAACAAACATGGGTGATAATGATTATTGATTGTTGACCTGGTGGAGAATAGGAACATTAAAAAGGAATAAAACAAATTCTTCCATAGATCTAAAAGACAATCTTCAAAGTTTAACTAATCTACAACGTTTCAATTAAACAAGATAAAAAGCCAATTGTTCAGTCTATTCTACTCATAATGTCTAACTGTTAAAACAGTTCAGATTAAAACAAAAATAACTTCCAGAAAGTAATCCGATCTATCCAAAAATACCTGATTAGCAATAAATCAGAAAAAGGTATCATATTGCATACTATTTCATAGAAACAAACAATCTAAAAAATGCGAACTTAACACGGAAAAAGTTAGATCGCTACTTTAAATGCAAAATAATTAACAAAGCAATCGAATCAATTTAATAAACGGATCTACGAGCACCAATAAATGAAACTACACTTCAGTAACTAAAATCAGAACAGTCAATAAAAAACTTTAAAAAAAAAAACATAAAAAGCCAAGCAGTTTAAATAAATTACCCGAAAAACGAACGAAATGAGATATTACTTCTCCTTCGGATCGAGATTGTCCAAAAGCGGCGCTTGTGAAAACCCTAAGAAAGAGTTTTTCAAACAGAGTATTTTTAGAGAGAGAAAGAACAGAGATGGGATGTAAAAGGCTGGGCTTGAATTAAGCAAATCTATCTCTACAATAATACTTTCCTTCCTTCAATATTTTACTGGGAATTATTGCGTATTGCACGGTCCAGGTAGTTTCCTCATCGTGTATTGTTGTATAATGTGGGCCCATTCATTTCCATGTTTGAGCCTTTTTTTCAAATGTTAAACCCTAACCTTAAGGGTCCCCCACCACTCCTATCCTGGAGTATCGTAAGGGAGGTAAATCGCAGGTTATGCCTCCAAGGGTACAGGGTGAAAGGCTGCTTGTACACTTGCACTTACCCAAGAGCCAAATCCATATTTCAGGATTCGAACCCTTGACGCAACAACCTCAAGCAAAGCTGGATTTCTCCACCTTCCCCTTTTACCACTTGGAGATGTGCCCTGGGGGCATGTTTGAGCCTTTTTTCCCTCATTAAATGCGTGGAGAATATATGATTAAAAGATGAGAAAAATTTTTAAATTTTTGTATAATATTATTTTATTAAAGAATGTGCAATTCAAAATAAGAGAAAGAAATATATTTTGAAAATAATAAAAACCAAACAAGGCTATTTTATTTTCATATTATCCTTTACTAGTAGCAACGATAGTAATTATTTTATTTTTATTCCTTCTCCGTCAACAACAATAACAACTTTGTATAATACTTTACAACGAGGATAACTATTAGCAAACAATTAGCCCATCTTTTGAGTTCCATTACCCAATTATTCATCTTTTACATATTTATTTTTTAATCATATATTCTTTAAATAAAATAATTTGCAAATCAAATCAAAACTTTTGCTTACAATTTAACCACACGCTCTTTAGAAAAATCACTATTTCAAAATTCTTTTTAACATAAAAATGAAGCTGAAACAAGGCTTAACATGCTCGGCAGAAAAATTGAATAGTACTACATTGAGTTAATAAAAAATTAAAATTTTAATTTATTATATAATTTAATCACATTAAACGGCCCTATTTGATAATCATTATTTTAAAACTTTATTTTATATATATTCATTTTCAATCACACATTCATACAATAAAAATTTTTTGAACGTAAATCAATAATTTATTCTTAGTTTTTAACAACTCATATCCAAAAATTACTATTCGAAACTTCATTTTACTCCAAATAATGATTGCCGAGCAGAAGCCAAGTCTCTATTATATATATATATATATGATTGAAAAATTGTGAATCTCATAAAATGTGGATATCGTGTTTGAATTACAATAAGAAACAGGCATATATAAAAATAACTCAGAACTGAATACATCTCAAATGCTGAAGAAAGAAATAATCCCTGAGAACATTGATCATAATGCAGAACTTCAATGAGAAATCCAATGCCATGCCAAAGATGAAAAAAGGATATGATTGGGGAACCATGAATTCGGGATGAAGATATTCAATTTGGCAATCTCATCTGAGGATGTTTGACAGAAGGGTTCCAGGAAAATATATAGAAAAAGAATAATTGAGCAGGATATCATGGGAACTAAGAATACTCATGCAGTGGCCATAACACAGATAAACACTGACCGTATTTGCCCGTTTTACATCCAAAAGTTAAGAAAAATAAGCATCATGTTCAATATCCCCTCCTTCAGTACAGTTACCATGAGACAAAAACAGAGAACACAATTTTCTAGGTTGAGAAAGGGGTAAGTGAACAAGTGCCACTCTTGTGCTCATTTAAAATGACACATCCAGAAATTTCCCGTGTAAATGGGCAAACAAACATGGGTGATAATGATTATTGATTGTTGACCTGGTGGAGAATAGGAACATTAAAAAGGAATAAAACAAATTCTTCCATAGATCTAAAAGACAATCTTCAAAGTTTAACTAATCTACAACGTTTCAATTAAACAAGATAAAAAGCCAATTGTTCAGTCTATTCTACTCATAATGTCTAACTGTTAAAACAGTTCAGATTAAAACAAAAATAACTTCCAGAAAGTAATCCGATCTATCCAAAAATACCTGATTAGCAATAAATCAGAAAAAGGTATCATATTGCATACTATTTCATAGAAACAAACAATCTAAAAAATGCGAACTTAACACGGAAAAAGTTAGATCGCTACTTTAAATGCAAAATAATTAACAAAGCAATCGAATCAATTTAATAAACGGATCTACGAGCACCAATAAATGAAACTACACTTCAGTAACTAAAATCAGAACAGTCAATAAAAAACTTTAAAAAAAAAAACATAAAAAGCCAAGCAGTTTAAATAAATTACCCGAAAAACGAACGAAATGAGATATTACTTCTCCTTCGGATCGAGATTGTCCAAAAGCGGCGCTTGTGAAAACCCTAAGAAAGAGTTTTTCAAACAGAGTATTTTTAGAGAGAGAAAGAACAGAGATGGGATGTAAAAGGCTGGGCTTGAATTAAGCAAATCTATCTCTACAATAATACTTTCCTTCCTTCAATATTTTACTGGGAATTATTGCGTATTGCACGGTCCAGGTAGTTTCCTCATCGTGTATTGTTGTATAATGTGGGCCCATTCATTTCCATGTTTGAGCCTTTTTTTCAAATGTTAAACCCTAACCTTAAGGGTCCCCCACCACTCCTATCCTGGAGTATCGTAAGGGAGGTAAATCGCAGGTTATGCCTCCAAGGGTACAGGGTGAAAGGCTGCTTGTACACTTGCACTTACCCAAGAGCCAAATCCATATTTCAGGATTCGAACCCTTGACGCAACAACCTCAAGCAAAGCTGGATTTCTCCACCTTCCCCTTTTACCACTTGGAGATGTGCCCTGGGGGCATGTTTGAGCCTTTTTTCCCTCATTAAATGCGTGGAGAATATATGATTAAAAGATGAGAAAAATTTTTAAATTTTTGTATAATATTATTTTATTAAAGAATGTGCAATTCAAAATAAGAGAAAGAAATATATTTTGAAAATAATAAAAACCAAACAAGGCTATTTTATTTTCATATTATCCTTTACTAGTAGCAACGATAGTAATTATTTTATTTTTATTCCTTCTCCGTCAACAACAATAACAACTTTGTATAATACTTTACAACGAGGATAACTATTAGCAAACAATTAGCCCATCTTTTGAGTTCCATTACCCAATTATTCATCTTTTACATATTTATTTTTTAATCATATATTCTTTAAATAAAATAATTTGCAAATCAAATCAAAACTTTTGCTTACAATTTAACCACACGCTCTTTAGAAAAATCACTATTTCAAAATTCTTTTTAACATAAAAATGAAGCTGAAACAAGGCTTAACATGCTCATCGACTATTGTAATGTGTTGATCGGAACATTCAAACTAACGAATGATTGATACACATCATACATCTTAAAAAATATTTTTCTTAAAAATGTATGAACTAAAATCAAAGTTTTACATTTCAATTATCTATTAGTTTTAACATCCATGTCAACATACTTCATTTAGTTAACTTGAAAACGATGGACAAAGTGACTAGATTTGCAAAACAATTGAAATTGGGCGACATGATTACCACCAAACAGAAGATGAGGGGCCAAATTTGCAAGAAAATGGAAGTTAAATTACCTAATTACATTAAATTAAATATGAGTAACTCAAATGCAACTTCGCTCCACGTTGGGTGACTCATGATGCATTAACATATAACTCCATTGCCTATGATAATTGCTTCTAATAAGATTCATCCATGTCATTGAAAGTGACGCAATCTCCATCCGAATTAAAATAAAATAAAAAATGGAGAGAAAGACACATAGTGCTCGAATTCTGATTGGTTCACATCATCATCAATGACAAGAATTTGAGTACCACCAAACAAGACGAAGCTTAATACTCGAATATGATTGGTCCACGTCATCTACTATAACTAAGTGAATCTCAAGTTCGTTACTCTATATATAATCTTCCAGCTTCTCAATTTTTTCACAAACAAACTGTACTGCAGAGACGTCAAAAAGAAAAGCTTTATGAAATGGCTGGTTCTTTGAGAATATGTTCTATTCTTTTTGGAATCGTCTTGCTCGGTAAGCATTCAATTTCCAATGGGAATGCCAAGTTTCTGTTGACTCCTAATGTTTTTTTTTCCTATAATGTAATTGTTATTAATTTGTCTCAGATGATTTTATGGCTGAAATAATGTGTAGTTCAGATCTGTTATGTGAAAATACTTTTCGTAATGGTGATATGTTGTTGAAAATTTTATATTTATTTTCATTATATATCTTATATTTTTAACTTGTGCTTCACTTTCATCATATGATGACCTTACTCTTTTTTAACAATCAATTTTTTATATCCTTTTGACAGTAAATAATTTTTGAGTTTAAAGTGATCTCTTCATAATACCTTATCTCGTTTAGATTATAGTTTTTGGACAAGAAAGTAGTAATTACAAAATAGTAAAAGTTGGAATTATTTGGTAAAACTAAGAAAAAAGTCTAGTTTATATTTATATACTGTATCATAAATGCAGAATTTATGCAATAAGAAAAGTGAAGAAATCTTTGTTTATTGCTTTATTCCGTCTGATGCAAATGAAATTAAAGGTTTGATTATTTCCGCTAATGCATTAGTTTATCGCTAGGTAATAATTTTAATGGATCCAAAAATATTGGAACATATCATATTGATATTGTGATTGAATCCTCAAAACAAGAAGCTTATTTTCGTTTTCCATCGCGAATGAGGAGTCTAGCAAATTGGGAACAGTTATTGGGATAGACCTTGGAACTACATATTCATGTGTTGGTGTTTTCAAAAATGGAGTTGTTGAAATCATAGCGAACGATCAAGGTAACCGCATAACCCCTTCATGGGTTGCCTTCACCGACAGTGAGAGGTTGATTGGTGAAGCGGCAAAGAATCTGGCAGCAGTTGTTCCTGAGAGGACTCTCTTTGATGTCAAGAGGCTAATTGGAAGAAAGTAAGACCTAGCTTCTTTCTTTCTTTTTATACTCGTGCTATTGTTTATGTGACAGAGAATCATTATCAGTACTCGCTCTTGTCTTGCCTACTGAATAGGTTTGAAGATAAAGAGGTCCAAAGGGACATGA